AACGGCTGCCATAACGGGTTAAAACTAATGGTGGGGAAGGATTTGCAGCAAATCTGGTGACCTGAGGTAGAAACGAGTGTTGGAGCGGAGGGAAAGGAACAACCAAATCGTGTATTTTGGAACAGTGAAGCGATGAAAAGAACAAGTAGTGGGAGTGAAGCCAGAAAAAGTATATAAAAGGGAGGGGGTGGATGGAATTATCCCATAAAAGTAACGAAGATCGAAACTGAATTGAAACTGAATTGGTAAAACCTACGTGATTCGTTAGTACATCTTTCCACAATATTCGTACAACCACCTGCGCTACAAATGGAGCACAACAAGGTGATCGAGTGGCAAGGCACTCTTCCATGGCACGAAGACCTCGTTCTGATGGATAGAACGACGGCCATGCAATACGTACAAAGTAACGCTCCTACAAAATACTTTGTTATGTACTACTTGCTTGAAACTGCATTTGAAATCGAAACTTTACAATCATTGAGAAGTAGTGCGTAGATCCATGCGATAGTATAGACAACTTCTCGAAATAGAATTGCCACAATAGCGACGGGAGATTCTGAAATTGGCATAATCTCCAACAATATGATGGTTGCCCTTCATACCTTTATCATAGAAGCATTCAGCAAACGGAAACCTTCACAAACCTGAGTTCCGGGTTGCAGAACAGCATTGTGCGGAAAAGCTGACAACAACTGAACGAATCTGTCCAAGACCATTTCGGCTTCAGCTTCATTGGAAGGCGAAAATGGAGGCACAGAAGCAGACATTGGCACAATTAGAGGTGAAAAGACAGCCAGCACTCGTTGAAATACTTCAGCGAAATCTGAACTTTTCCGCTGATATTACTTGTCCGCAGCATAGTATTCACTCTTCATTATCACCTTACAAACGTCATGGACAGTGCACATCCACTGCTCATTTAATGACTCACCCCTTTGAATAACGCTGCTAGGCGCTTCGGCAGGGAAACTTTCCTGCACTGGAGTGAACAGAAACAGCTGCGCTAGCCTTGTAATAGAATCCAGGTAACGTCCCCAAACCGAATACATCGAGGGCGATCGTGATCGTCCATCGCTAAGACGTCTTGCCAGTAGCATGGCACATTCACCAGCCTGGAAGTAACCAATCCGCATAGTAGCATGCAGCTCAACAATATGCGGGAAAAACGTCTCGTACGTTTTCAATCATTTTGCTGCAACGGTACCTCTCTCCACGAGATCACGCACAATATAAGATAGTAAAAAGAAAGAGAGGTCCACTTAAGAAGATTGGCAAAACAGGATGCCACCAACATTGCGGTCAACTGTGTCGATCGTTGACGATGAACTTCAAAGTCACCTTTTTGGATCATGGCTCTGCCATGTGTGAGGAGGGCGGGTCAACAGCTGATGTGGCGTGCCAATTCCTCCAGATGAGTTCACGGAAATGGGGTGAGGAAGTGGAAGGTGCCGTCTGCATATTCTGACTGCGCTGCGGCACGACCAGTCGTCATACGCGTAACTATACCCAAACGCGCTATTGAGCCTGGCTATGGTTAGGCGCACACCTGGTCGTGCGCAGGTCACGTCCGCGAGGTTGGAGGAGTATGAAACGGCAGATAGCTAACATAACCATCGAGCCTCATTTCGGCGCAACATTAGTGATGAACGTGGCACAGTTTTTCAGCTGCGAACTTGTGCACATCGCACATAGCTAGGACCAGGATCCTCGAAGGTGGGCGCAAAGC